GGCTTCCATTTAGTTCACCACTGGTGGTATGTTCTTTCTGAAGCTAATGGATTTACTTCTCTTAATTTTCTGCTTCTCCTGACCTCCTGTGTTCTAGACTGATGTGGATATATTTTGCAATCAATCAGGCCCTGCCTGTAACAGCTTTTTTTCTTTAATTCTTGTTCAAACAGAAATTCAGATAAAGGTGTCCCGTTTGTATGCAACAGGAAATGTCTGCCTCCTTTCCAGATATCCCTGCAAATGCTCTGTGCTGATTTCCTCAGAGCTGAATAGAAATGCTGGGTCAAACAAATAGAAACGTTCTGCGGTCTCTTTCAAGGATCCCATTGAGGGCTTTGTGGTGTGTTTAGGTCCATCCTTGACCTAGGCAGGAGAAGGGACTAATTCATCTGATCCTACTATTCTCCCTCAGACTCCTCGTTAATGCATCCTCACCAAAGACTTGTATGAGGTATGGTCAACAGAGCTAGAGGAGCTTAGAGCTCTTGACATGTGATGGGTTTTTCCTATTGAACAGAGTCAGGTCCTTCCAATGTCTATTCTTTGGGGCTAGGAGTCCTCTTTCTCACCTTTGAGAAGTTGCAAGCATGAACCTGTGTGCATCTTCTCATTGCAAAATGCCACTTACACATTTATCTCAGCTTCTACTTTATCGTGCTCAGAAGATGATGGAATTAGAAACACTTCTGAAGTAGGCTCTCTAGATACTTTTGCTTCCACCCCCTCTCTTTTATCCAGTGTAATCAGCCATCCAGCTTATGATTAAATCACTGGTGGCCACATACGCGACTCCAATTGTGGAGAACCGGATTTATGTGCTAAAGAGCTTATCAGTCAGTAGTTGCTTTGGGGAATATATATCCTCAGGCACAAATTGCTTGAAGCAAAGGAGAGTGGATAGTCTGCATGGATACAGTTCTCTTTGTCAGGGGTGGTATTGGGTCTGGAGATGTGGAGGCAGACCTGATCCTTGGAGGACTTTGTGAACTTTCAGTTGAAGACCACCCTGAAACGCTGATACGTGTAACAGTCTAGTGCATCACCTTGATAGGAGATGCTGTTGTGTGGCACTTCAGCTGCAGACATGCATGGTTCCAGCAAGCGTGCAGCCCAGCCGGCTTTTGGAAGCAGCCCCCCTTTGCCTCACCAGCCATCACAGCCAAGGAAGCACTTGGTGTTGTGTTCAGCAGCCTCTGCCTCCCCCAGTCATTACTGACTCCTACTTAATTGCTCTTGGAGAGGAAGAGCATGCCAAACTGCTAAGAAACATCCACATGGAAGGAAGTCCTCTCCTCCCAGCCATGCACAGAAGCCCTCTCCATCTCGAAATGACCCCTGGCTCAGGAGTTACGCAGTAGCTTTGGCATGTCACTCTCCCGTCCTCATCAGGCACATCCCCGGTATGCAGCCATGTGGACTTTCCTGCTGGCATGCAAGGTTGTGTCAAAAGTGCAAATGCAGGTGTCCACCCTGGTCTTTTAGTAGCAATTAACCTTTTCTCCCGGGTTTCCTTTGAAGCCTGCTCATATTTTTATTGTAAAGTAGTGGTGAAGAATTTTATGGAGGCTAATATCTAAGCTTCCACATTACCTAATCTCATCTGTTCCCTTATCAGGGACTTCGATTTTTGTTTCATCTCATTTCTAGTGGGGATAATTATTGGGCTTTAAAGAAGCCATCTTGAATTTCAAAACTGCAGCGTTATCTGTGCGCATGATTTGCAGGTCACTGGGAAAATAGCTTAGCAGCACTGTTCCTGGGTTTAATTATAATTTTACGAAGATTTTTTTATCAGTCAGTGTCCCACAATTTTTCTGGAAGTCCCTCTGATCCATGTGGATGCAAATTTGAAGGTGAATAGCTGCACACCCTTTGAAAATGAAGGCCAGATCTTTAGTTCATGTTCATGGATTCTAATATAGCTTTTTCTATTTTAATTTCACAAATATTTCTTAATGGTCTTCCCATCTCTTGGTCAGTCATAATTCAACTGCTTGTTTATTTTGAGGTTTTAAAAAATATCTTTGCTAGACTACGTTGCTATTTCAGGCAGAATAGTATTCCTGCAATCCGTTTTACCCAGACTGTTGGGGCTTTGGGGCATATAGGCGTATTATATTTTCCAGAGCTTTCAAACTGAACGCTCGTGTTTAACAACGGCATCGGGTGTGGCTGCTGGAAATCAAAGGAGGCACAATAGACCCAGCAAACGGACTTGTCTCCCTTCCAGGCTTCCAGAGGCCAATTTATCAGCTGCAGATTTGACCCTATATGGCTAAAACCGAGTGTAGCCAGAATGACTGAGATAAGTATAACCGAGGTCTTTGAGTCTGCGAGAGAGAAATTAAACTGGACTGTCCCTGGGGGAGAGGAAACATCTGTAAAGCTGTGCTTACTGAATGTTTAAGGCTCAGCTTGTGCCGGCTTGTGGGCAGGCACTGCTGGCAAGTGGGGCTCAGGAGGCAGCCCTCTGGGGAAAGGCACAGAGCAGGTTGTTGCTTGCTGTGATTTAAACAATTTGGCTGAGCTGCTTCATTGCTTGGTGGAGGATGGTCGAGCATGGCTGTGGGATACATGGAAAGCCTTGGTTTTATGGGGCACTGCTTGGTGGGATGGGGACAATGGCAGTGACTGTGTCAGATGGGCTTTTTAAGGAGTTTGTGTCAGGCACCCAGCTGTCATGGAAAATCAGTAGGATTTAGATGCCCGAAGTTTTTACTCCCTCCCCGGCCCCTTCCAATGAGCCATGTGCTTATCATCATCCAGATCACTTTCCTTGTGTGATTTTTCTTCGTGCACCCCATGCGTATACATGGGTTAAGGTCTTTTTTTTCCCTGTTTCAAAAACAGCTGAAGTCTTTTAGGAAGGACTGCAATCTAAACAGTTGGGGGAAGGTATCCAAATGGGAGCGAGCCTGCTCTGTGTGGGTGCAGCATTGCTGCTGGCCCGCAAAGTGAGGGAGCACCTCGGACCCTGGGGGATGCTCGGGAGGCCTGGACCAGCTTCTGTCACCTGTCCCATCGTGCTGGAGCAGAGCTGTGTTTGGAGGCAGCAGCAGAGCCATGGTGTAACAGAGGTGGCTGCTAGTGTGGTCATCTCAGTGCAGGGCAAAGTGAAGAGTGGCATCCAGGTGGAGCTGTGTCTCTACAGTTTTTGTGTATTCTTTTTCTGTCCCTTGGAGGCCAGGCTGAGTTCTGCTGTGGGCAGAAAAGTTTGAGCATGGGCTTATAGGTGGTCGGCACAGAGCAAGCTTTCTGCACTGGTGTTTTCATGAGCCCTTGAACATCTTTGACAAACTTGGTACCACTGAGCTATGACACGCAGGATTTCTGAAGCATAAGTGATGGAAAATCCCTCTGTGTGTCCTTCTCAGCCAAATGTTAAAGTAAGGATTTTCTACTTCTCAGAGCACCAGGTATTAGAAAAGTGACAAACTAATCAATATTGGGTGCAATCATAAAAGTGCAGGGAGAGGGTCTGCCAAACCAGAGGCTGAGGGAACGGGTAGCTGAACTTTCTTGTGACATGTATGAGGTCATAGCCAGTGCCACATAAAAGAAAGAAAAACAGTTCATGACTGTGAATAAATTGCTCACAGATGAAGAATCCAGTTTGCCAGTCATGTGATGGGAGCAATCTATTCAAATTATTTGTTATGTCCCAGTGTTTGTCTTAGGCAGTATCAGAAGCATGAAAGTACAGATATAAAACTGTGAGATAATATGTAACAAAGATGTGAGAGATAATGGGCTATGACCAGTTTCCAGTGGAAAAGGCACACGGTGCTAATCTACCATGGATAGCTTCTTAAATGAGCAAGAAATTGAAAGAACATTTTAAAGTTTCCTGTTTCTTCACTGAGACGGAGTCATTCTGAACGCCAAGCCCAGCGTAGCACTTTAATTTCTGGGCCAACCATATAATGCAAATATCCTCATGCTCGGAGCTTAAATACCCGATCTCTTAACTTCATTCCTTGGAGAACACTAGGTTAGAATTAACTGGAATGGGTTCTGGTGTGTAGGAAAAGTACAGTAGCATTAATAAAGTCCAATGAACATAAATAATTAAGGATTTTTTGGTTAGTTTGTCTTTTTGCTCCTTTTGCATGCATTATTGGGTCGAGTCCTGTATTGCTGGTGCAGCTAAAGCCCCTGCTGAAGTCACTCAGAGTTTTTTGACTAAAGAGAACTCACAATCAGCCTTTCATCGGAGCTGTCAAAAATAGTGAGGATTTATTCCCCCCCCCCCTTTCTTTTTGTTTGCTGGCTAAGCCTCAGAGATTAAGTTGTTTTTATTTTTTTTTCAATGAGATTTGGATCTGTCCCAGTGGTTTTTTTTTGTTGTTGTTTTTTTTTTTTTTTAAACAAGTGTAAGAGAATGCTCATGTTCTCTATAAGGTGCCGTTTGGATCCCGAACTTATTTTAGACCATTGCATTTCTTGGAGGTCAATGGTAAGACCCTGATTTACATCAGCTGAAGTTCTTGCCGAGAGCTGCGTGGTAGGCTGGATCCTTTTCTCCAAAGACTAATTGCAGGCCATCAAACTTAATTTTGGCTACTTCAGGTTCAATCTGTCTCTTTGAAAGACCAGTAAAGCTTTCCTGCTTTTTACTTCACTTAGATTTCAGTTGTAACGTATGATGCTGGCTTTCAATTGTAATTTCAAAGAGTGTGCAGTGCAAAGCGCTCTATCCGGACCAGACTGGACAGTAGGGTGTGCCTGCATCTGTATGTAATTCCCTTGCCTGCCTTCAGTGATGTAAACCACTTTTGATGTCAGGAATATTGAGAAACACTGTGTATCCCCAGGACTACAATAGGGAAAAGTCTCAGCTTCTTCCAGGGTGAGGCTCTGCAGCAGGACTAGTGATTGATGAGAGTGCCTGCCTGCCTACCAAACTGTTTGCTCCATTTCATGTGCAGGCTGAAAGGGTTTCATATGCAAAATCTGTCAGGAGTTTTCAAATCCTACTGTTTGGCTGTATTTTCCAGGTGATGAATGTTTGTATGAAAGCTTTCCTGAACTTCCTTTGGAAGAAGCTCCAGAAACTGATGGAGAGGTTGCAAACGTCCAGTGTCCAATGTCCATCAGCATTCAAGAGCCATCTTCTCCAGCAACCTCCAGTGAAGCTTTCACACCAAAGGAGACCTCTCCTTACAAGGCTCCAATATACATTCCCGATGACATTCCTATTCCTTCAGAGTTTGAGCTCCGAGAATCCAATGTTCCTGGAGCAGGATTAGGGATATGGACCAAAAGGAAGATTGAAGCAGGGGAAAAATTTGGCCCTTTTGTAGGAGAGCAGCGGCCACATCTTAAAGATCCCAGTTACGGTTGGGAGGTAAGACATTGTGTATTCTTTCGGTCTGTTGAACTCTCTAGAATGTTTATAAACACAGAAGTATTTGAAGAAGTTGAGTCCTGTCCTGCAGCAGACAGGAGATGTTTGTATGCATGAAGATGGCTTTGTGGCCTTTTGGGGCTTTCTGGATGGCAACAAGTGTAAATTTAAGAAAGGAATTATTGTTGCGCTTTGTGCATGAAATCCGTCTGGGTGGATATTGGCAGGTGATGCCTCTTCTGGAGGAAGAAAGGAGGAAATTGAGTTGTTGGAACATTTCTGTACCATTTTTAGTCTGCTCTTGGACAACCCTGAAGTATGCCTGTGGGCAAGGGATTTCTAAACAACACTGCACTGTTGGAAAAGAAACTGGGTGCTGCTTTCGGGGTTGTGAATCACTGCTTTCTGTCAATAATGATTAGAATAGCCTTAAAATCTATACTGCATGGCTAAAATTGCTATTGCAGAGCCTGGTGCTACTCGGGGACTTTGAAAGCTGGGAGTTTGATCCTGTTTCCATTTAACTCAATGGCAAATTTGCCATCCATTTGGTGCAGTGTGTTTGGATGCTGGTGTCAAACCTAGCACACGTGGGGATGATGTGGCTCATGTTACTTCTGCAGATGCTTTGAGAAATGTTGCTTTTCCTGAAGGAGCTCAAGGCCTCCTTTGGCAAAAACAGTGGCTGCCTCTTGCTCTCCCTGCCTCTGTGGGCAATGTGTTTTCCTTGCTGTGGTGTGAGCTACAGATAGATCCATGGTCAGTTTAGGGTTTTAGACCTCAAGTGGTGCACATTACCAGTTGTGTTATGATGTAACAAATGTTCTTGCATGGTTTTATTCATCGTTTTAACAATATGCTGTAGAAACAGAGTACAATCTCTGCTTTCCATCTGCACGTTTCCTTTGGTTTCTGATAAGGAGAGAAGTGCAGAGTTTGCATGGCTCTCCAGGGGCACGACTGACCTCTGGAGAAATGCGAGGTTCATTTTCCCAGGAAAAATGAAGCTTTGCTGTGGAGCGGAGCCTTGCAGATATGGTGGAAAATAAAGGTTTGATTTGCTCTTAACTGTCCATAAATACTCAGTGAGTTCATTCCAAACTTTCCAGCTAGTTGTTTAAACTCTTGTGAGACCTGTGACAGTATGGCAGAACAGTGTCAGGAGAAATTATAGACTTGGCAGCACTCTATCGAGTTAACAGATCCTGATACAATATAATTGCTGGTGAGAAATTTTTATTATTTGAAAGAGGCAGCAGGAAACCATAAACTCTGACCTTTAACCACACCACAATTGAACTCAGATATTGATAACAGAAATTGGAGCAAAACTGCTGAGATGTGGCTGTACTTGCAGATTTAAAGGATTCCAAAATTAGGCTAGTTTAGACTGGATCTTCAGCTGTAGTGCAGAATAGCCCCAGTAAAATGGAGGATAATCCATCTTTTCACACCCTTAGATGTTGATAATATGCTGCAATATTAGGGAATAGTTTTCCTGCTTAAAATATTGAGGAATTTGGGGTCTACAAAATCCAGACAACAAATGCATATCTTGGTAGTGCTGGAAGCCCAGCTGGCAGACTGAATCCCTTTCAAGCTGCAGAACTTGTGCCAGTTGAACAGTGCAACAGTATTTGGGACAGCTGGGGAGAAGCTATTCAAAAGTGCTGGAGCTAAATCACACAAAATCAACAGTCCGAGTCCCTCTGCAAATTTGCCACTCATCCAGAAGTACTCTGCAGTGCTCAGGGGAGCTTGGAACAGAATATTTTTCCAACAAGTGGGTTAAGTACGTTTATTGTAATGGGAGACAAAAAAAATGCTGGTTACCAGAGTTTACTGTCATGGGTTCAGCTATTACACAATGAGTAAAACTACACATAGTGAAAGTTAAAACTAATGGACAGATGTGGGGAGAGCTGGTAGTGCTGAAGAAAATCTTACCAGTGCCCATCTCAGCCCAGATGCCCATCGTCACACTGCTCTGAAAACCACCACTTCCTCAGACCTGTGCCTTGGGGCAAAAATGGCAGTAAGAAGCTGTTAGTAGTGTGTGGGCTCAGGCAGTGGTGAAGGAAGCGTGGGCTGGTAAGGGAAAGGTATCGTTAATTGAGGTTTGAGTATGGTCTTGGGAATTTAAGCTTTCCTGGCATTAGTTTTTCTGCCTGAATGGGCACTTTTGTGAAACAGGGCATTTGTCCTGCAGGTGCTAATAAATCATTTAAATCATAGAATCATAAAATTGTTTGGATGGGAAGGGACGTTTTTCAGGTCATCTGGTTCCAGCCTCCCTGAACTGAGCGGGGACATCTTCAGCTAGAGCAGGTTGCTCAGAGACCCACCCAACCTGACATGGAATGTTTCCAGGGATGGGGCTTCTATCACCTCTCTGGGCAACCTGGACCAATATTTCACCAACCTCAGTGTAAAAAATTTCTTCCTTATATCTAGCTTGAATCTCCAGTCATTTAGTCTAAAACCATCACCCCTTGTCCTGTTGAACAGGCTCTGTTAAAAAGATTATCCTCATCTTTCTTCTAGGCCCCCTTTAAGTATTGAAAGGCCACAAGAAGGTCTCCCTGGAGCCTTCTCTTCTCCAGGCTGAATAACTGAATCAGAGGAATTCCAGCCCTCTGATCATCTTCATGGCTTCCTCTGGCCCCACTCCAACAGGTCCATGTCCTTCTTGTGCTGAGGACAAATGGGGAATTGAGTCTGCTGTTGCTGATATGAAGGTGATACTTCATTATTTTGAATGGAGGAAGAATGGAACCAGAGTTTCTGTATGGGACTGGCCTTGCTGAGTGAATTGCTGTCACAGCTTTCTCTTAAGTTTGATTATATGTAGTTCCTAGAATAGTTCTTGGTGCTATAGAGGTCATCTGTGTCTGGGGGCTTCAAAAGGTGAGATGTCTCAAACTGCTTGCTGGTCCCACAGCCCAGAGAAAGCATTTCACTATGTCCTGGCTCACTTATTTGTTCATCTCATGTTCATGTTGCTCAGAGAAATACATAGTGGGGTTGCAACATCTCTCATGCTTGTGTACTTATTTAATTCTCTTGAATAGACTCCCCTGTGGCTACAGAGGAGATGATTAAGTTATTAGAAAAATCAATCTTTCAATTTTATTTGCATTTTTCTGGGTTTAAGTTGAACCACTGAATGTACAACGGTGCTTGACTTTTGAAAATGATGGAGGAATCTCTTTTCAAGAAAAAAATTAACATAAACATTAAAATATTTCTGGAAGGAAAGCTGAGCATCTTCCTCAGTTGCTTTCTGATGCCATTGCATTATTGGTTTTTCTATGAAAGATCAACTCTTTTTTTTTTTAATTGTTTAGGATTGCTAGATAGCCTAGAGTCTAAAACCACGAAAATTTCAAAACAAAATGCTACATGCACATTGCAGGGAAGAGTTTACAGCTACACACAAATTTGGACTGTAACTACATTTTTGGAAAGGATATTTTTATCCCCTTGCAAAATGTTGTCATAGTTTTGGGTATTTACAGCTGTGGAATACTTCTTGCCTTCCAGATTTTGTGACAGATGTCCATCTAAATTGAAACTAGGATTAGCCTGTAGCGGTCATGAGAGAAGTGTAAGCTGGAGGAACTGCTCCTGTTACATTTTACAGCCAGGCAGTTGATCATGAAGAAAAATTTGCTGCAGAAGGCTGAGGAACTTCATGGGGCCTGTTCTTATGTTCCCCTATAGCAAGACTCCCTATGGCATCGATGCAGAGTTTTGTCAGAGCAAGTCCCAAAAAACAACGTCTATTGTGTCCATTTATATACTTCAGCCATAAAACACACTCTGGGACAAAGAGAATTTGTTGTGATGTAGTTGTGCTTGGGTCATGATTAGAGTGCTGTAGACCTGTTTAAATGAAAAGCCATAAATTTGAATTTTATCTCATTTTGTGGGTCTAGAGCTGAGCATTATCTAATCAGGTATTGGTTAGCTAAAGTACAAATCGAACACGGGTCACCGGACAAGGGGAAAGGTCAAGCTTTTTTGCAGTTTGTCACTGGGGTTTTAGTATTTGCCGGCAGCCCGAATATCCGAGGGGGTCGGGAGGCTGTTGCTCAGTGGTTGTTTGAAAAGAGAAAATTGACTGCTTCTTAATCAACAAAGAAAACAAGCTTTTAAGGGATGGCAGTAATTTTTATTATTTTTTTTTTTAAACAAAGGCAAGGGAACACAAACTTAGTGATTTCATCATGGTTCATGCCCTGCTATGAAAAACAACTGGGAGAGTATTTCAAAGAAAGCCTCTGAGTAGGTCACCAAGGCCCATGCACCTATCTTTGACCAATGTCTTCCGGAGTACATTGAATATTCAAATTCAGGTTTCTTACTGCTATAACAAACTTGAAGTCTCATTCATAGGGGCAGTTCCTTCACAGCTCTTTTTATCCTAAACTTTTATTTCTTTACTATGAAGGCAAAAACAGGAGCAATAAATTCTAATAAATCAAATGTGTCACAGAAGTAAAAAATATTTTAGAGCTTTACAAAGCAGCATATAATGTTTACAGAGCAGAGTATATTTTCCTCTCATGACAGTGAGGCTGAAAAAATATCTCAGATTTGGTAGCATATGCTTAAGGTGATGCAATTACTTCTAGATGGAAATTAGGAGGTCAGTCAGCTGTTTGTTTACTTGTCCCTGAACATTTTTGATGTGAGTCTTTGGGGAAAGCTGCACGGCTTCCTAAAAATTGTTCTGCAGTTCAAGTTTCCCACTGGTTTATAGGGACTGGAAGAATGGTAATTTTAAATTTCTGTTCTACACTCTGACATTTTTTTGGTGTTTTTAGAATTTCAGTTTAGGTTTGAGATTCTGGGTTCTTGGTATACCACTTATGTCTATGAAAATTAAATAAAAAGTTACAAAATGTAAAAGTATAGGCTTTTTAGATTTGGAATCTCATGTATGTGCTCCCAAATCTACATTGTAGCACCTAAACCAATAGCTGGGTTTTCTTGCT